GTAAATTCTATCACGGACTCGGTGATGTTTGGTGTGCGCTTCTTCTTGGTGACGAGGATGTTGCGCGGTGGGGACGGCCATTGCAGGCTCAGCAGGGTATTCGAGGGCGACTGTATGTATGACGGCGTCGTGCGCGAGGGAAGCTCCGAGATCTGCCTGATCTCAAGACGTCGTGAAGACGAAGCGAAACTCCGTGCCTGGGCCGGTAGAGCCAGGAGGCGCCATGGCAAGACGCGATGGGGTACAAACATGTTTAGAGGGTAGGAGGCTAGGGCCAAAATGCTAGGCGAAGCTGTGCGCAGAGCTTGGAGGGGTGGGTAGGCGCCATATGAGCGGGTGATGACGAGTCGAACCGTGGTAGGATGGCGCCTGGTGGCATCGCATGCCAGACAGCGGGGAGTGAATGCTAAGGCGCGGAGATAGTCCAGGCGCAGCGACTAAACTCCATAATCACATGCAGCGGTGGAACATTTGAAGAGGTGAAAGTTGCGAGTGAACGCGTCCGGATATGACTAGCGCCCGCTCCAGGCCAGCTAACGGGTGGGGTGAACCGCCGTGCTGTCATCATGCTCGAGGGAAAGCTGCGGATCGGCAGCACCAAGTTCCAGCGCCCGGAGACACGATGCGCGAAAGCTGCGGCCTGATTACTCCCTCTGCTCCTCCACACCACGCCCGCACGCCCTTTCACCCCCAGGCGCCCAATGCAGACGGCAGCGCGCTGTCCCACTCTCCCCCGCCGCATGTCTGGGCCGTATCCGTAGTTCCCTCGTCCGCCTGAGCATCCGCCCACGCCCGCCTGCGTGCACGCGCACTCACACTCTCTCTGTCATATTCCTCAGACCTGCCTGCATACTCCCCATGCTTGCCCACACCACGAGCATCATGTCCGCCACCGACATCCGGCAGCGCAAGCCGCCCGCATCGGTGCCCGTCATCGAGAAGCTGAAGGCGCAGCGCACCAAGACACCCTCCGGCCCAAAACTCCCCGATCCAACCCAACACCCAGCCGGCAAGGTCAAACATGGGCCTGTTGTGCAGTTTCTGCGCATGTGTCTCTTTGCAGCGTACTTCAACGGCAGCATCATAGCGTTCGTACACACTCAAGGCTAATACCACCCATAGGATACTAACGTCATGTCTCAGCATCGCCATCACCCAGTACATCGGCCTGCCGCTATACTTCTACAGCAAGGACCTCTTCTACGCGTGGATGGCCATGACCAAGCAGCACTTTAGCATGACCGTTACCACCATGACGTACTGGTGGGCGCCCGTCACCATGCGCGTCAGTGGAGACGAGAGCATAAGAGGGCAGATGAGGAAGAAGGAGGATGGCCTGCTCGAATGCGACTTTCCAGAAAGGCTGGTATTCGTCTCGAACCACCAGGTACGGTTATCCAGGCAACATGCTGCAGAACGATGAGCTGACACCTACTAGATCTACACTGACTGGGTCTACCTCTGGTGGATGGCATACAGCGCGTCTATGCACGGCCACCTCTACATCATCCTCAAGGAGTCGCTCAAATACATCCCAATCCTCGGCTGGGGCATGAGGCTCTTCGGCTTCATCTTCCTATCCCGCAAGTGGTCCACGGACAAGGAGCGCTTCCAACATAGGCTGAGGAAGCTGAGCAGAAGTCACGACGGCCCACTATCTGGCTCCAAGGGTCTCGATCCCATGTGGCTTCTCATCTTCCCCGAAGGCACAAATCTTAGCAAGAATGGTCGCGCATCGAGCAAGAAATGGGCAGAAAAGAACCAGATTGAAGACCTGAGGCATGCACTACTGCCGCGAAGCACAGGGCTTTCCTTTTGTCTGCAAGAGCTGCAAGGCTCTGTAGACTACCTCTACGACTGCACAATGGCGTACGAGGGCGTTCCGTAAGTCTAGCCTACCATGCAGGTTCTTCAGATACTAACACACAACAGCGCCGGCCAATATGGCCAAGACCTCTTCACCCTCTACAGTACCTACTTCCAAGGACGCCCCCCAAAGTCTGTAAACATGTACTGGCGCCGCTTCGCCATCGCCGACATTCCCCTCCACGACGACAAGCTCTTCAGCGACTGGCTCCTTGCCCGATGGCGCGAAAAGGACGACCTGCTCCAATACTTCCTCGAAAACCAGCGTTTCCCAGCTGACGAGGGCGAGACACCCAATGTCAACGGCGGGCCACCGCTCAAAGGCGCTGGCTGGATCGAGACAGACGTCCGACCGAAACTGTGGTACGAGTGGCTACAAATCCTCGTACCGAGCGCCGCGCTTGCGCTCGTGGTGAATGTATTTCTGAAGATTGCGAATCTTGTAACGAAAGTGGCGGGAGCAAAGTCATGAGATCAGGAAACTCCTCAATTGGCGGCAAACATGTTGTTTCGCAGTGTCTGGCGCGTGGTCGTTTGTGTTATGTAGATCGGCTTTGATACCCTATATTCATCTCTTCTCTGTCCGTCAAATGAGGGTGTACCTCGTGGTACTCACGTAATCCTTCTTTGGGCCCTTGACATCGTATCGCACTTCCCACCACATATTATCCGTGTCCCCGTTGACAACACCTGAGCCGAATGTCCAACTAGCCGTATACAAATCCTCGGCACAAAGATGCGTTTCCTTGTTCTTGGCTTTCACCTCCTTTCCACTTGCCTCTAAATTACCCATGTCGACGAATGACCCCCCGACCCCTTCCCCGTTCTTCCCCACGCCATCCTTGATGTCCGCGCGCGGCATCTTTTCATCGTCGAAGAAACGGACGGCGATGTAGTCGCCTGCTTTCTCGCCTGTGCTTTCCGGTGTCGGCGTTTCGAGTTGGTACACGTATTTCCTGCGTGCATTGAACTTGAGACCCGTGTCTGTTGCGAATTCGCCTTCTTCGGCGTAGAGCAGAGTTGGCGGAAAGGGGGCTGGTAGGTCGCAGGACGTGAACGTCGCTGTTCCTGACACTGTGCCTGAGGGATGAGTCGGCAGGGTAGAGCGGAGTTGACGCGTGAAGTTCCATGGTTTGTCGGGGGAGTTGCGTAGGTTTTCGAAGATGGAGGTAGGCAGCGAAGGAGAGCTGGGCTTTTGCTTTTCGGTCTCGGAAGAGTTGTCTGTTCGTGGTTCGTGTGGTAGGGGTCTTGTTTCTCGAATGGGTATTGAGGTGGTGATGCCAGTGTCTGTGCCGTTACTCTTGGTTTGCAAGGAAGCTTTTGGGTCTTGGCTTTCTAGCAGGATGGCATTGACGCTTTGGAGCGTGCTTCTACTTGGGTTTAGCGCGGGGTTGCTTGTCGTTATCCAACTGAGCCTTTGCTTGATGAAGGCTTTCCCCATGGCATTTGTCTCCTTTGGCGTGCTCGTATCTATCGCTCCCTTCTCGTTTGTGTAGAGACATAGTATTGCTAAGGCGGTGCCGACGGATAGATCCTTGCCTGTTGGGCAGCATACGAGGAACCTTCCGGTTATTGGTCCTGAGAGGGACGAGAAGAAATACAAGATTCGGGGCAGTTGAGTGCGGAGGTCGCGCGAGCCCAGTTTGCCGGTTTGGCATTTGAGGTGCAAGTAGTTTTTGACTCCGGCGTCCTTTAGCATCGAAGTGGCGAAGGGCTCCGGTGTACAACTGATCACAACGTCAAATCCGTCAAGCTTCATCTGGTCACTAGGAGAGATGTACAGTCTGGACGTTGGCTTGATCAGACTTGCGACCGCGCTACTACCTCCGTCTTCGTTGAGCAATCTTTCGATCAGAGCTGGCGCATCTTCCTCGCTCGTCTTCATCAGCACGTCCTTGTTCTTCCAGAAGACTGTCGGCGTGAGTCCATGAGACCATGCTTCGTGGTCATCGGCAGCACCCTGAATATACCCGCTTTCCGATGCTTCGGCACCGCGTACTCGTCGCGATGCTGTACAGAGCACGATGGGGTGAAAGTCAGGGAAAGAAGGCGCTGTATCCGGAAGAGATGATTGTTGTGTCACCCATATCGGTCGTAGGGGCTTCTTCAGCTTACTACGAAGGTCCACGAGGTTAGGTTTGCAGATATCCTTGTCTCGATATCAGCGAATATATTCGGAAATGCCCAGACAAGACACGCACCAGAAACTGTTGCACAAATCCGTCTATCCTTTTCTCCATTTGCGCATGCTCGCTTTCTCCCGCAGCTTGTGGCGGCGTGAACAATCGCATCTCCTCTTTTTCAGGTGTGCCGAATACAGCTCTGTTGATCACACAGCACCATGTCGGGATGGTTTTGCTCAGCGCGTCCGGCATACTCTTGCCTCTCCTCGTACTATCCACTACCACAGCGCCGCCAAACTTCTTCACCACATCCAGCAGTTGCAGGTTTAGTCTTCTCAGACTGAAGCTCCATTCGCCCATGTGGCCGTCCGTGCTCTTGAAGTAGACAGATCCAGACTTTTGGGTTGGCGGAATGTACCAGCTTCCACACCGTTCATTGGCTACGAGGGGTAGGTTGTAGACAGATGCGACTGAACTGACGAAGACGCTGTCGGAGATGATTGAATTAAGGCGGTTGTGCGTTGATAGTGCTGAGCGGCGCAGAGAAGAGAGGGTGCTGGATAGATTTGGTGTGTTGGAAAGGTGCGGAAATAAAATGTCGGCTTCTTTCAGAGGTTGAGACATTGTAGTCGTGGGCTCTTCCAGTCTGCCAGGCGCAAAGTTGATAGTGTCTGCGTGGGTGGGAATAGAACGATCATTCACATTTGCCTACCCCGCACCATCGCGTACGAAAAAAGGAAACGAATAACTTAGAAGGATCTAGGACAGAGAGAAAAAGCTACATGTAGATCGGAAGTTCATCGATGCCTATAAATATGATGTAACCTTTTAAATTATGTTAAGGGATTGGTGATGGAAGATGTGTGTTCGTGAGGGAACGACCTCGAGAACGCTAGTCCAAGAAGAGGTTAGAGACAAGGGTTCAGAACAAAATTCGAATGCGGTAGGCGCAGCATGGTGATACATTTGTCTATGGTCATAGATAATTGCTATCATGATGCTTTCGTCCGTCTAGTCTTGTTTAACAAGCGAAACAGGTGCGATGTAACTCTTCCGTGCGCTGACGAAATAGTTGACCGTGGCAATGATAGCCATCGCGCCAAACATAAGCGCCGCCCAGTTCATGTCCGTAGCCGAAGGGTTTGGCACTATAGGGAAGAATGAAAAGATGAAGGAAACGACCAAAAAGGCAAGAGCAAGGTCGTTGACGATGCCTCCAAACTTGCCTAGGCTCCAGCGTCGAGGGAGCAATGGCTCTCCTCGCCAACGCTTCAAGCGCACGCATCCAATCGATATGATGTAGGAGAAGATGAGAGCTGCGTTCGAGATAGAGACGATAGCGTTTAAGGTAACGTCCGACCCGAAGTTGATGCATGCGAGCACGAGCGAGGATCCGAGACAGACAAGTAGCGCGTTGACGGGAATGTCCCAGCCGGCTGGCACTCGCTCGATCCATGCAGAGAACGGAAGTCCCCTATCGCGTGCAAATGCCCAGATCTGGCGCGAAGACGCAGCAGTAACGGATACGGCTGCAAAGAAGACGAGGATGACGAGGATGGCTCCCATGACTTCCGTGCCCGCGATAGAGCCTGTCGCATTGTAAACGGCCTGGAGTACAGGCTGCCCCGTCGGCGATTCGAGAACCGAATCGAGAGCACCGCCACACATTACGAAGGTAATCATCTAAAATGAGCATATGTAGTCAGTATCTGCCTCTCATCCAAAGTAGTTCAGGCATGCTTACCATGATGCATCCGAAGATGCCGTTGAAGAATACAGCCCACATCATAGCTTTTGGAAGCACCACAGAGGCGTCTTTCAACTCCTCAGACATGTGTGCGCCCGCGTCTGGACCAATAAAACACCACAATGGGGTTGAGAGGCCAACCAGGGCAGACACGCCCATCGAGCTCCATTCTCCACCATTTGTCCAAGTCGTGAAAACTTCTTCCGCCGGAAGACGCTCTGCCATGGTCCAGAATAGAATCATGAACGCGAAGAAGGCAAAGACATGCAAGATTAGTACAACACCTTCAGCGAGGGGAAGATGCTGCGCCAAGAAGATGTTGAACCCAATCATGAGGAACAGCCAGAGCATCATCAACAGTGTGACATGCCATAGTTCTCCAATCTGGGCGTCAGGGTACGCGAGGAGAACCATTCCGATGACGAGACTTGAAAGCATTTGTGCACAGGCGGGAATCCCGCTGACCCAGCCGACAGCCGCAGCCCATCCTAAACATGGTGTCAGTACGAGACTTTAGATGTTTAGACCATCCAACTACATACCTACGATGTAACTAAGGGACTTTTGGAATGATGGCGGAGCGAACTCGCTGACCCAATGGTATTGTCCACCGGCAGTTGGGGCCATTGAGGCCATCTCGGCAAGCGACGCAATCATGGCTAGGACGAACACCCATGTGATAATCATCATCCAGATGACTCCTGCTGTGCCTCCATTGAATAGCCCAAAGTAAGCTGAACTTTGCTTATACTTAGCCGGGATAGATCTGCACAGGAACAAGAACTTACAGTAGAGCACTTTCCCATGTTGACTGTAGGACAACCACGAACCCGATGATGGAAATCAGGCGAAAATTCCTCTAATTGAACGCTTAGTAGAGGTCCTGCATATGCGTCGCAATAAGGGCTTACCCGGAGTTCTTGTTTCTTGCCCATCCGCTGCATGTCCTCGGCGTCGTGGGCTGTGCCTCCCAGAGCACTGGCATGCATCCTACCCGCTTCACCGGATCCATTACTTCCTGTGTCATACTCCTCGGCATTCACAATCTTCGATTCTCCGACGACTGCCATGGTATCAAGTAGGCGACTACAAGAGAACGACCATCGGCGCAGGTAAGAGATGTCCTGAAAGAAGAGGGAGGTGCAGTGGGGAATTCGTCCCAGACGCTGCTTAAGCGATCTAGATGCAAACTCTACAGCCGTTACTATACACGTTGATTGCAAGCCGTGCCTAGAGCTAGGAACTAGCTGCCGTTCTTGGGCCCATCACCGCTTTATGTGGCGTGCCATTGGAATCGTGACAGGCTTTGACGAATCAGCCATGAGTAATTAAGGAGATGGCCTTGGAAGAGCGGCTTGAGACTACAGGGCTCTCAAGCATTGCGCAAGGACACTAATGCATGATATCCGTGGGGGCCTGTGCAATGTCTTGTGCTGGTTCATGTACACCATACCATGTATCCATAATAAGGCGACTCAAGCGTAAGCTTATCAGGTACGGAAAGGTTTCGATTTCATGATGCTCTTTGACCGTCGCGCATCATGCTATTGGTGTCGCGAGGCCAGACAGCCGACCGGCGACTCGTTGATAGAGCATGCAGAGGGTATGTGTTATCGAAGGGAACATGGAGAAGGACCCTCCCAGGGCCGTTCCGTGGCCACTAGAAGCAGGCTTCGCCCGGAATTAAACAGCCGAGGTGTCTGTCGTCCAAGCTTGCTCCGCAGCACCACACACCTCCCGGGGCCCCGAACCGCGCACCAATCAACACGTTCGCTGTCACAACCTGCATCTGCGTGCTACCGTGCTTTCATCGTCAAAAAGGCTAGCTACAGGCTGGTGGTGTCGCAGATCGGCGGTCGTAGGAGTCCAGCATGGGCAGGTGCGCAAATTCTCCTCCGTCAGAGCGTTGAGAGGACGAGGACAGCAACTGTAGGTAGTCAACTTGATCGATCTTAGCTACAAGAGTTGATTAGCTGAAGTACAGCAGTCTATGTACGATCAAGTGCCGAGCGGTAAATGCTGCAGTCAGGCACGCTGTTGAGAAGCGATAAGCTCTGGCACGTCACGGGGCAGCCTATTATTGACAAGGTTCAAGGCACCCCGTAATGACCTCTCCGATCTACACCCACTTCAGCGCATGCAATCAGCAACAGGAGGGATGCACCACATTCTAACCAAAGAGCGCTACAGGTTTGGAGGATTTCATGCCTATCGAAGCCCGGTCCCAGCCATGGGTTATATGCGGACGAATGGCCCTTGGAGAGCCGCAACACGGTCCACGCGCCTGCTTAAGGGGTGATGTGATACATTCACTGCGCACAGAACAAAACAGTTCCCAGCTGGTTTCGCCGTTGGATGAACAGCGAAGTTCGAGTCAGGGTACGGTGATAAGATGAGACGGTTGTCCGCGCCGCAGCTTTGGAGACGACGCCACGACCCACACGGGTGTGCTAACGCCCTGTCGTGGGAACTTAAGGCTACCGAGCAGTTCTCGCGTGCTTTTCACGAGCAGTATCATGGCGGATCATGACGAGGAAGCAATCGCACGAGGCCCAGGACGTGCAGCTACGTTGAAATTCACCATCAGTCTCTGCTTATGCTACACACTATGTGTAGCATGCCTTCGAGGTTATATTCGATGGAGAGCTTTCAGTCTCGATGATCTGATCGTGCTACTATCAGGGGTAAGTACATCTCGGTGTATTCATAACAATTTTGAGCACGACGAGAGGCCGTTACTGACAATCATGCGAATAGGTGTTGGCGCTTAGTTTCTTTGGTGTCGTTTTTGCGTCCATCTCTACTGGACTCGGGCGCCCTATGACCGAGCTGGCTACTCTCTCATCCGCTATGGAGAAACTCAATAACTACGCAACGGCTGGTAACATCCTATGGGTCATATCCCTATGCGTCTCTAAGATTGCCATCGTTGCTATGCTATTGCGCACGACACAGACGAGATTCCACAGAAGATTTCAGTACGGCGTAAGCGCCATAATCGTCGCTCAATGTCTCACATCCGTCCTCCTTCTGAATGTGGACTGCTCGGTCCACCGTGTGCTTGCGTGGGACATCACCTCCGCGCACTCCGAATGTGCCCAGAGTGAGCGACGATGGATTGCTCTCACAGCCCTGGACGTTGTGACCGAGGTTCTCCTGCTCTTCCTGCCCATTCAGTTGGTGTGGGGTCTACGTATGGCTTTCCGAACCAAACTCATCGTCATATCGTCATTCTGGCTCCGACTACCGTACGTACCGCTCGCCAGCAGTGATTTTGTATTAGCTGATCACGCGATAGAACCCTAATCTTCTCTGCTCTTCGCCAAAATGAGATACATCAACTTACGACTACATCTGATGTCTCTCTCACGGCAGCCACAGTGGTCATCTGGCAGGCTGTGGAACTATCATACTCTCTAGCGGCCGCGACGCTCGCTGCGCTCAAGCGGTTCACAGAGTCGCTCAACACTGGTTTCGGTCATGGCGAGCTTATGCGGATTCATGCCCCATCTCAAGGATACAAGCTGTCGGGTCGTGGTGTTGCTTCAGGGAAAGCGAAAGCTTCACGCAAACAGGCACCTCGCCCGGATGAGCCTGAAATCTCTATGGACACCATGTCGTCTGATGCCACAGCTCTGCCCCCATCTAGATTTGAACCTCGAATCGAGCAGATGAGATTGAGGCCTGAACCACTCCAAAACACAGCGACAGTCTCGTCGGCACCGCAGAACTTGGTTTTGAATAATGGGCGAGTGGACGATACAAGCTCGAAAAACAACATCATACACCAAGAAATACAGTACTCAGTTCATTATGAGCAAGGCGCCACGATGGATAAACATGGCAAATGAAGAATCGCCACTCCTTATCCGACACCCATTCAAAGGGAAATGGCAGGCTGAAGGGCTTTACTCGCGATTGCATCATCGCTTTATGCAGTATACTATCGCCTGGATTAGATGCTCTCACTAGGGCTTACCGCCCGTCGCTTCCCCCTATGGACCCGTATGCGGAATATCTGCTCAATGCGTTGGAAGGGTTTCGACTGCGATGCGACAGTGAGATGCGCCATTATGTCTGCGACCTCAGCAATCCGGATATACCGTCACCCAGCAACATCCGCCATAATCTGCATAGTCTGCACGAAAATCTCGGCCAGTGGGCTTTATTTACACTCAGGATTTTCCAACGCAGAAAACCTGTCCAAAGTCCGCTTCCCATGCGATGAGCGCGTAGGGACGATGTGTCGCCTACTTGTATCGCTTCTTCCAGACTTCATTTCATCCATCTGATCAGCCCTCCGAATACATAAAGTACGACGAGACCTGGATGGCAACACAAGAGGTAGGCTCTTACTGTCCGCAGAACCTTGACGCGACGCAAGGAAAGCCATTCACTAGCCGAAATTCGTACATCGGAATGATTGTAGTCTTTTCTTCTTGGTGTTCGAGCAGCGATGCGCGATTTATACTCGCTGAGATAATTCAAGTAAGGGAATTAAGGGGCTTGGAAAGTATCGGAGACGGGAGCCATGAATGTAAAAGTCTAACGCCAGTCGGATGCCGGCATCTAGTGCCCTGGATGCCTGCCCAGGTGCCTCCCAATGTCCACGTGATCGATCACAAAAGTCGGTAGCATCAATATCGAACGGATATGGATATATGGCTGATGTCCAGATGCGCCTTCGCAGGGGTATGAAGAGGTTTCTTCGAGTCTTCACGCAATGTGAGCGAGGTCTCACCGCCGAAGCGTGGATCGCAAGAGGCATCGTGATATCTTTGCCCACCCTTTTCAGTGCACACGATTCTCCCAGAGTCTAACTATCCTCTCGAGAATCACGGACGTTCACACAAGCTCAGAAATTCTCCTCAAGCGCAAGGCTTGCGAGGCAATGGCGTGAAGCTTAGGTACATTAGATGGCCTCCATATTGGGACTACGCTGGAAGGGGCATAGACTCGTCATTAGCGTGGGCAAGCTTCAATTACCCGACCACTCTGGCATCTGCGAACGCGAACCTCGTCACTCACATCAACCACTC